GGTTCAACCTACACAATACCAACTTACTCATTACTGAGAATACGAACCTTAAAAATTGGGCTTTCTAGGCTGACTGAATGAATGATACAAACAGAGAATAGAAGCATCACTAAAAATAAGGTGTACAAATGTGTACAAACATGATTTCTTCATCACACAAAAGCTATTCAGAGCCACTGTTCAGCAAGTTCACTGTAGTTGAGCCTGGGTTCTTAGACTGGGGATTCCCGGAAAAACTCATCTTGTCACCATTAACCCATCTCCATTTTCTCATAGCCTCTAGCAATTCCCCTAGTAAGCTAAAATCCTGTTTCTGGTTAGTTTCTCTGGAGAAAAGGTATAAGTAAACCACAGTATGAAAGTACATTCCTAAAAAGATTGTTAATGTAAATTATGTGAACTGAACCCTATTTTAAATATATAAGGTAGAAGGAGGAAGAAGAAATTGGGTAGGGAAGTGTACTTTTTAAAAAAGGCTTTAAATACATTTTTAAATTTAATATACCATATGACCTTGAATATCTATTAGATATTTATTTGTTAGTTTTATACTAATAGTAATGCCCACTCATAATAACAGGTCCAAGTATTCAGAGAGGTACAAACAAAAGCCCGTCATCTTCCCACCAGCTCCCTAACATCTCAGCTCCCATTTCACTCCAGGTGACTTGAGAGTTTGATACCAGTCCTTTCACACTCTTCTCACAAAAGCACATACAAGAATACACATATACTTCCTGAAGCTTTGGTGGAATTTCAGATCTACTTTTCATCTTCTTTATTACAATTAGATTGTGCACATCATCCTTTAATCTTTCTCACATAGCGATACAGTACAGATGTCTTTCCAGAGTGGTACTTATGGTTTTCCTCACCAAGTTTGTAGTAATCAAATATTCCATAGTGTAACTACGGAATGGTTCACTCGACCACCTCCCTTAAGATAAACATTCCATGTTATCGTTTTCTTCTCCCACAAACCAGGCTGCAAGAAGCATTCTGAAACAGCTTTTTCTGCAATACAAGCGACTCTGCTTATTTTCCAAATTAGGGTTTTTGCATATCCATTTTTCCTTAAATAATTAGAACACACTTAATAGAGAATACAGATCTCTCTTGAAGCAAACTTCCATCCCTCGTCTCCCCTCCCCTCTTATCATCTCTCTCCCCTTCATGCATGTTTGGACGTGGCCTGAGAGCCAGGGCTAGGCAAGCCCGCATTCTGCCTCTAACCAGTGCAGCAGCTGCTCTTTGCTGGAGGCAGGAAGCGTTCCTCCTGCAGCCTTTGATCATCCATTGCCTTTCCACACCGGGAACAATCTTTTCTCCAACTGCAGGCTCCTTAACCCCTTACTGAACTTTTACTTCTCGGTAAGCTTACAAGATGCATATAAATCTGCACCATCAGCCTCAAATCGGTCTTGGGAATGAAGTCCTTCGTAGAACTACATTCTGTTTAGTCAACTGGGACCTTGAAACTGAAAAACAAGTTTTTATATTTAATGTGTGTGGGCAAGTAGGGGGTCAGATGGCAGAGAGCTGCACGGCTCCAAAACACCTTCTCATGAAGCTCTACCACCAAGAAAGTGATCGTATTTCTTGAACTCCTCTAGCTATGGTGGGAGAGTTGCAAGATTTAGGAAATAAAAACACAAGGTTCTCTGTTAAATATGAATTTTAGATATACCACAAATAATGTCTTAGTTATTTTATTATGGTATGTTATATTATATTGTATAGTGTTTATTATTACAATATTACACAGGACATAGTTATAGCCAAACACTATTCGTGGCTTATCTGAAATTCAAATTTAACCAGGCATCCTATATGTTATCTGGCAATTCTACAAGTTAGAAGAAATGTGCTGTCTTCCCCTCCACCAACCCAGAACTTTCTTTGCTTTTGTCTCTGTGTCAGAACCACACTGAGAAAAAAAAAAAAAAAAAACAACTCACCTTCCTTCCTCAGCCCAAGCTTAACTGCAGAGGTGGTGTTCTGGCACCTTGATCTCAGCTCCTATGAGGATAAGGGTGACATCTACCTCCATCACTCTTTGCCTGATCCTTGAGCTCTCTTGTGGTTCTCTTGCATGTACTGTGTAAACCTTCTGGATTGAGGGATTTCTGTATTTCAAACTTCCTCTCCTCTGCTTTTGGCGGTCAAAAATGCCCACTCTCTGACCTGTCTGAACTTTCTAGATTGTATACTTCTTATATTCTCTTGACTCTTTTGGTGTCCTTAGGATCTTCATCTCCTGAAACTTCTGAATCAAGCTAAGATTGTGCCATCCGAAGATCCAAGTTTTGTTGAGTGCATTGGTGCATGCCTATAATCCCAGTAGCTCCAGAGGCTGAGGCAGGAGGATGGTGAGTTCAAAGCCAGACTTAGCAATTTATCGAGGCTCCAAGCAACTCAGTGAGAACCTGTCTCTAAATAAAGTATAAAAAATGACTGGGAATGTGGTTCAGTGGTTAAACACACCTGGTTTCCATCCCCTGAATAATAACAACAATAAAAAATCCAAGTTTTAGAACTGGGATTATATAAACAGGGAAAGTCACCACCTGAACCTGTTTCCTTATTTGTAAGGTGGGTGTTGAATTCTATTATTAGATGGTCAAAATGGTTTCTAGCTCTGATACTCTGTGGATCCAGTGTCCTCACCTCAGGCCCTAGAACAGTTTTCCTGGTCTCAGTTCATCATTCCAAACCAAACACTCCAGTGTCCCAGCTTGATCCCAGCTTTACTGATGGAAACTGTTCAATCTGACTCCAAGGATAGATCATCAACATCTCCAAGGATGGGAGAACTGGCTAATATCACAAACTATTATCTTTTAAAATTAGCGTAGTGCTTGACCAAGTAAAACACTTACCTTTTTGTCAGAAATGGTCATTGCAAAACTTCCTGTGGTGTAACTATTGTGTTGTTTTATATCATGCTACTTACATATTAACACATTGAATGCTACATAGCTGCACCAACCCTAAAATGTGTCAATTTTGACTGTGTAGTAATCTTTATAAGAAAATGTTTGACCCCCAAACATAAATGCATACCTTTTATTTAACAACCAGTTAAGATGTGTAAGTACACATGAATAATCAGAAGGGAATTTAAAAGAGAGCTAAATATGCTTTGAATTCGAAAATTAAAAAAAAAATAAAGTCACTCACATTCCTAAGTGTTCTTATAAAAGTTATATGTTGAAAACATGGAAAGAACAGTTTGATGAAGTACTCCTACTTTTCCAGACCTGAACCTTCCCAATCACAAAGCTATTTCTTTTTATTTACATGCAGAACATTTTTCAGAAACATGCATAAATATATAGCACACAATGAAAGTGTGAAATTCGTTCATTATGGTAATTAAAGAATCAAACAAATGAATGGTCATTAGAGCTTATCTAACTCAATGTTTTGTAAACTTAGGTCTTGTGACCTACCATAAATACATTCATGAGATAATGTCTACCTTACTATTTATGAAGCCATTCAACATTTTTATTCTATTTATTTCATTTCTTTGAATTTGATTGTGATCCACCTTGTTGATTTTATGACCCTCTAATGGATCACAACCCACAATTCATAAAACACTAAAAAATTCCCAGCTCTCTCATCTTAAAAATGAAAAAAATTGGAAGTTATTTTTAAAAATAAGCTAAATGGATGCAGTTCGAGAAGATAATGCTAAGTGAAGTTAGCCAATCCCAAAAAAATAAATGGCGAATGTTTTCTCTGATATAAGGTGACTGACACATAGTGGCATAGGGAGAGGGAGCATGGGAAGAATAGACAAACTCTAAATAGGGCAGAGAAGAAGGAGGGGAAGGGGGGGCGGGGGTTAGCAATGATGGTGGAATGTGATGGACATCATTATCCAAAGTATATATTCAAAGACATGAATTGGTGTGAACATACTTATACACAGAGACATGAAAAATTGTGTTCTATATGTGTAATAAGAATAGTGATGCATTCTGCTGTCATGTATTTAAAAAATAAAAGCAATTAAAAAAATAAAATAACCTAGCTGAACCAAGATCAGAATCTATCAGAAACCATTAGAATTTTTCATTCTTTTCTTTATCTCTACCTCTAATAACTCATTTTGTCCAACAAAAAAATAGAGAAAATAATAGCTTTTGAAATCAAAAGCTAGTTCTTTAAAAAGATAATAAAATTGACAATTGATCAGGACCAAAGGAGGGAAGATACAACTTATCTATATCAGGAACGAAAGAGATGACATCACTACAGATTCTACACATAAGACTAGGACAATAAGGTGTTAAAAGCAATTTTATGAGAATCATTGTTTCTCCTTTGCTAGCAAAGCAATAAACCATCCTTTTTCCTTCTCAAGACCGTTTTCTCTTGCTAGATTGGCATCAAGACAAGGACAGCTTTCTACACCAGAGACAGCTTTCTACAGCAAGGACAGCGTTCCACAGCAAGGACTCAAGTACAGAATCATGGAGCCAGAGAAGGAGAAGACTGGGAGGCTCCCCAGGGACAGCAGCCTGAGGAGACAGGTCCCCGACTGGCTGATGAGGACACCCAAGGTAAGGATATCCCATTTGGATCTCGTGGTCAGGCAGCCTGAGCCCAAGAGAGCCCAGTTGTCTGGCATCGTAATGGCTGAAAACTGTGAAGTAACTCATGAACAGCTATGTGAGTTGCTCAAGTATGCAGTTCTGGGTCAACCCGTTATTGAGAGACCCAGGTGGTGCCAGCTTCTTGACCAAAACCAACTGAGGAGAATAGTGGTCTTCGTCCTTCAAGGGATGAGTCAACTACACTTCTACAGGTTCTATTTGGAGTCTAGATTTCTCCGAAAAGCCTTCAAACACAAATTCCACTTGCCTCCTCCATCATCTAATTTTCTAGCTGATATTATTGGGCTACCAAATCAAACAGCTGGATATCTGCCTAAGACCATGGAAGGATCTTTACCATCTGCCAGTACAAAACCTGCAGAATGACCCTGTCATGAAGTCCTGGAAGCTGCCCGGCTGGCCATCGAGTCCTTGAATGGCGTTCTGGTGGAAGGTGTATACACAAAGTTACAGAGACCTGTGACAGAACTCACTCTGGATTGTGACACACTTGTTAAGGAGCTGGAACGAGATTCTGAGAACCGAGATACTAGTTTTCTGTCTGGAGTTAGTAAAGATTTCTTGGGACATATTCAGGAACTACCGAACCTCTTTGGTGGCCTGGAAGCTGTGATCGTGCCTACAGATGCTAAAAGCGGAAGACAGGAAAAATATTGTTTCCTAAAATTCAAAACTTTTGGCAATGCCCAGAGGGCCCTCCATGTCCTCACAGGCAAGGACTGGAAGCTAAAAGGCAGGCAGGCCCTAACCCCCAGGCACCTCCACGAGTGGCTTAGGAGCTCACCACCTGAATCAAGAAGGCCCACAGGTCTCAGGGTTAGACCTCCTCCCTCAGAGCAAGAGACCTTGCAGAATTTAAAGGCGGACAACGCAAAAATTGCAGCCTGGCGTTGGAGCCAGAAGATTGGACGGCTCTACCAAAGCCTGAGCCCAGGTACCCTTTGCGTCATCCTCCTGCCAGGAACCACTAGCCCTCATGGATCTCTCTCTGGCCTAGGACTCATGGGAATAAAAGATGAAGAAGAGGAAAGCACCACCCCAAGCATGGGTTTGTGAGTCGGCTCGCCACTTGCCGTTTCTCATCCTTCCAGGGCGATGGTGGAGAAGACAGTCAGGCTGCAGCTTCTCCAAAGACTGCTGGGCCTCTTCATTCAGTGGACGGCTTTGTGTGGGAAGCTGGTGTACCAGCTAACGGGTCTAATCCATTTACATGGCATGCACAAGTTTTTAATAAATGCCTAAATTCAAGCCTTCCTCATCTTAAGATGGGGGGGGGCTAAAAAAAAAAAGATGCCACACTGTGCCCCATGAGTCTGTACAATTACTATGTGCCAATTTAAAAAATATATATATATATATATATTTAATCATATATATATGATTAAATATAAAGTAAAATGGAAACAAAATAAATACAATTTATAATTTACCCCCATAAAAAACAACTTTATGCCTATAAACTTAACAATTTAGTTGGAGTAAGAAGATTCCTTGAAAGGCACATACTATAAAAGTTTACACACACATACACATACACACAACTCAAATAACCCTGTATTTATTTTTTAAACCAAAATTGTAATTAAAAATCTTCTCACAAAGAAAAATCCAGGCCCACATAGCAAATTCTACCAAATGTGGAAGGAAGAAATAGTATCAATTCTATACAAACTCTCCCTCAAAAATTGAACAGGAAGGAATGCTTCCCAACTCATTCTATGAGTCCAGCATTACCCTTAAATCTAGTTCAACAGTATATTAAGAAAAATGCATCATGACCAAGAGGAGTTTATCCCAGAATTACAGGGTTGATCTTATATTGAAAATTAAATTAATACAATTTATGATATAAAAAAATTTAAAACAAAAAAATATGATCATCTCAATAAATACAGGAGAAAGCACTTGACAATATCTAGCCCTCATTCCAGATTAAAAATAAAACTCTCAGCCAACTAGGAATAGAAGGGTACTTCCTCAACTTGATATAAGGATCTACAGGGATAGGGAGATAGCTCAGTGATAAAGCACTTGCCTAGTATACATAAAGCCCTGGGTTCAATCCCCAGCACCACATAAAAATAAACAAAATGGAACAAAAAAAGTATTTAAAGGAGATAGATATATGTTGTAAAAGGCATCTACAGAAAACTTTGTATTCTGTTAAAATAACTTAATTATGAAAAACCAAAGATTAGGAACAAGATAGTTATATCTACTCTCTTTACCTCTCTTCAATATTATCTGGTGCCATCAAGAGAAGAAAATTCATCCAAGTTGAAATGGAAGACATAAAACTGTCTTTATTCAGACAACATGATCATTATCTTTGTAGAAAATCCAATGGAATCTGCAAAAAAAAACCCATGCTAGAACCAATAAGTAAGTAAGTTTAGCAAGGTTGCAGGATACAAGATCAATGTACAAAAATCTACTATTTATACTAGCAACAATCAAAAGCTGAAATTGAAAAAAATTAATATTCACAATAGCACTAAATGTGAAATACTTATGAATATATCTGACAAAAGATTTGTAAGACCCACTTTTTGAAAACTGTAAAACATTGCTGATAAAACTTTTTGAAACCTAAATAAATAGAAAATGGATCATAAGACTCAATATTGTTGAAATGTTGGGGTTGGGGTTGTGGCTCAGTGGCAGAGCATTTGCTTAGCACATGTGAGGCACTGGGTTCCAACCTCAGCACCACATAAAATAAATAAATAAAATTAAGGCATTATGTCCATCTACAAATCATACATATATATAGTTGAAATGTAAATATTCTTTGAATTGATCTACAAATCTAATATAATTCCTATTAAAATCTCAGCAAGCTTTTTCTTATAGAAACTGACAAGCTGATCCTAAATTCAGGTGAAAATGAAAATGGCCTAGAATAGCAAAGATAAATCTTAAAAATAACATGCTTAAGAGATAATAGTCACTAACTGCAAAAATTATTATAAAGCCACAGTAACAAAAATGATGTTTTAGGCATAAAGAGAGAAAGATCAATGGAAATAATTGAGTCTTGAAATAAAACCACACTAATTTTTGACAGGCACACAAAGGTAATGGTATGGAGAGAGAACAGCTTTTTCAACAAATGATGTTGGAATAATTGAATGTTTATATGCAAAAATAAAAGTGATTTTGGATCCATGCCTTCTATTACATAAAAATATTAACTTGTAATATATTATAGATTTAATGGAAAATCTAAACCTTTAAAAGTTGTAAAATAAAAGAGGAGAAAATCATTGTGACCTTGGATTAGGCAAAGATTTCTTAGAAAAACAAAAGCACAACCAATAAAAAAAACAAATTATTAAAATTAAAAACTTCTATTAAAAAATGATTAGAAGAAAAATATTTGCAAAGCATATGTCAGTTAAAAGACATATCAAGAATATTTTTAAAACACTTAAAAGCCAAAAATAAGGGAAAAAGAGGTAATGCAATTAAAAATGAACAAAAGAGTCAACCAAACACTTTACAAAGATCAAGAACACTTCAAAAGAGGAGATCAGCAAATAAGCACATGAAGAGATTCTCAACACCATCAGTCATTAAGGAAATGCAGAATAAAATCACAATGGGATTTCTCTATATATCTATCAGAATGACTAAAATTTAAAAGACTGACCATATCAAGTGCCGATAAGAATATGGAGGAACTGGAACTCCACAGATGGGAATGTAAAATACTACAACCACACTGGAAAACATTTTGGCAGTTTCTCACAAAGTTAGATGTCTACTATAGGATATAGTCATTCTACTCTTAGGTACTTACTGAAAAATAAAGGAAATATGTTCTCCATAAAGATTGTTCATAACAGTCTTTTCAGTAAAATAGCAAAAACCATAAACACCCAAATGTCCATTAACAGGTGACAGAATAAGCAAACTGTGCTGTATGTATATTCAACCATAAATAAATATGAACTATTGATTCTAGAAATGACATGAAGGAGTCTCAAAATAATTAAGTGGCATTAAAAAAACTGATTTTAAAAATCTGGAATATAGATTTCATTATTAAAAATTCTAGAAAATACAAAGTAATTTACAGTGACGTAAAGCAAGTCAGTGGTTGCTGGACAATGAATGGGATAGGAGGGGCACAAGAAAACTTCTGAGGTGATGGATATGTTTGCTATCTTGACAATGGAAACCTTTCACGGAAATCACACATGCCCAAACTTTGATCAAATGATACATTTGATCAAATATATGCAGTGTGTGTATCAATTTACCTTAAAAAATAGTTGATTAACAACCACAAAACTTTTTGCCCAAAACAACTTTTTTTTCTCAACCGGAGCGGCAGCTGGCAAGTCGAAGTCCCCTTCCTGGTTCCACCATGAGTAACAAAGGCCTTTCTCCTCTAATTTCAGTTTGAAAAAATCCCAAGTCCTGTCTGACTGGCACAGATTTTCCAGATGGAATCTAATGACAGCTAAGGGTAAAGGACAAGGAAGAGGATGGCCACACTTATTAGCTCGTTGGTGATACAAGCCATTCCCCAAATGAAGGAGATTTTATTCCTAGCAGAGAGATGTGCTAAACAGACACAATATTGTGCTCAGTGTCACCTCCAGCACTTTCTGTGCCTTTCCTCATTTAGTTCTTACAGTGGAACTGTGTGGTGGAATTAGCACCTCCATTGCACAGCAGAAGCTAAGCAATCAAAGGGCAAATAATTTGCCCATAATAGTAGATTGCATGATGTCCTCCACAGTGATGGTTAATTTTATATGCCACAAAGGCTAGGCTATGGGTTTTAGTTGACTTTTTCATCACTGTGACCCAAGGACCTGACAAGAACAAGATAGAGGAGAAGAAATTTATGTGGGGCTCATAGTTTCAGAGGTCTCAGTCCATAGATGGATGACTCCATGCCTCTGGGCCTGAGTGAGGCAAAATAACATGGTGGAAGGTATGGTGGAGGAAAACAGCTCAGAACACAGCCACCAGGAAGCAGCTAGAGGTGATGGATATGTTTGCTATCTTGACAATGGTGACCTTCACTCACCAGGGACAAAATATAAATCCCAAAGTCACACCCCCAATGATCTATCTCCCCCAGTCACACCCTATCTGCCTATAGTTATTGCCCAATGAATCCATATCCATGGATTAATCCACCTCTGAACCTTCTTGTGCTGTCTCAATGAGATTTTGGGGGACACCACATATCTAAGCCATACATCTGCATATTGCTTTGTAAGTATTTTTTAGATGAGATCAGCATTTAAGCCAGGGACTTTGAGTGAAGCAGATTGCCCTTTATAACCTGAGTGGGCCTTATCCCATCAGTTGAAGGCCTTAAGGAAAAAACTGACCTCCTTTGAGAAAGAGAACATTCTCCTAGCAGGTGGCCTTTGGATTTGAACTACATCAACTCTTACCTGGGTCTGCAGTCTGCTGGATCATCCTGCAGCCTCCACAATTGTGTGAGCTGGTTCCTTAAAATCAGTTAAATCTCTTTCTCCTTTCCCCTTCCACCACGCATCCTCTTGGTTCTGATTTTCTGTAGAGCTAATCTGCCCTCAAAATTTACGCCCATCCAAGTTGGAAAATATAATGCTGGTGAAGTTAGCCAATTCCCCCCAAAAAAACAAATGCGAATGTTTTCTCTTATATAAGGATGCTGATTTATAATGGGGTTGAAGGCAGGGAGAATGGGAGGATTAGAGAAACTCTAGATAGAGCAAAGAGGTAGGAAGGGGAGGGAGCGGGAGGGAGATAGAGGGAGCAGGAAGGAGGGGGAGGGAGATAGAGGGAGCAGGAAGGAGGGGGAGGGAGAGGGAGGGAGGAGGCAAGGGGGTAGGAAAGACCGTGGAATGAGATGGACACCATTACCCTAAGTACACATATGAAGACACAAATGGTGTAACTTGACTTTGTGTACAACCAGAGATATGAAAAATTGTGCTGTGTATGTGTACTATGAGTTGTAATGCATTCTGCTGTCATACATAACAAATTAGAACAAAAAAAATTATGTCCAGAATATGATCTTATTTGGAAAGAGAGTCTTTTCAGAT